TCTCTCTCTCTCTCTCTCTCTCTCTCTCTCTCTCTCTCTCTCTCTCTCTCTCTCTCTCTCTCTCTCTCTCTTTCTCTCTCTCTCTCTCTCCCCCCCTCCCTCCCTCTCTCTGTCTCTCTGCATGCATGCGCGACGTTCGTCCCGCGACCGAGGTATTGTTAGTGCACAATTTACATTCTTACACCCACGCTAATGTCACGTATACAAACATGGATTCGACGCTAATCGTTCGAGCAACGAGTCAACGCCGATCTTCCCTCGCCGTGAGGAGAGAGAGATCCGTTGATAAGGAAAGTCGACACCATTTATTACACGAAATTTCCTCATTTCCGCGTGGTAAATTTAAACAGGCACTCTGCCCCGGCATAAAGAGCGGCTCGTGTGAAAGAATAATTTTATTTATATCGGCGCCGCGTGTACCAGCAACTCGGATAAAAGACCGATATTTCAGAATCGAGGCTCTAACGGGTACCGGAGGGTAATTCAGCAAATTGCGCGAGATAAGCAATTAATTAAACCGCGATTGCAGCCGAGTAATCTCGATTTGATATTCGCTTCTGGAAGGAAACAATCGCGATTGACGCAATCGCAAGCGCGCTAAAGACGACGCATTAAATACAATTACGGCGGACACTGGCGTCTTGCCGTCCCTATTATACCTGTCTATAAAAGATAACGATCATAAAAGACCGGCGATAACTAAATAGAAATGCCTAATGGCGCTCGGCACGGTACTCGAGCACTCGCGTAGGTATACCAATACGATGGCCGGCGCAGGTACTCGACCGTACGAGAGCCGATTCCAGGTAACGGTGCTGCCACTTTAGCATATATATGTTTATACGCGTATCTATCGAAATAATAACGACGTTTTATACATATAGCACAGCATTGTACGGACAGCGTCGCGTCAGGAAGCAGGCAAGGAATTTATTTTGCGGTCGCGGTAATGGCGCATTCGATTATTGCCAAGTGCAGCCTCGCGTCGCGATTTCTACTTGCCGATTTTCCCCGATTTACATATGATACAAACCGCCCGGACAGCCTCAACACAGTTCGGACGCCTAGCTTTAGGACCCGGTGAGAAATAACTCGTCGAAACGACGTCAAATCGACGCCGACACCGTCAAGTTCGACGTCGATTCGAGAGCGTTTCGATATCGACTGACAAGTCATTTCGAACAGCAAATCGACTATGCCCTCCAACTTTGTGGTGTACCTACAGATTTGCGGCATTACTTTGGGCATTAGATCTTGTTGGGACATTATAAAGATAAGATAAAATAAGATAGTAAGATAAAGTAATGCCCACTGGGCATTAGTGGGCTCTGGTGTACAAGATTTTGGTTAGCGGTTTTCCCCCTCGGGCTAAACTTAATCGAACGCAACTGCAGTTGAGAAGAAGTAATTGTGTGTCTATTTGAAGAATAATTGAAGAGATCTTGTTTTCAAAAGACTAAATGTCTATAAATGTATCTATTTATGCAAAAATGCAGAGTAAATAGCGTTCCCCTCGCCACAAAGTCACACCTTCACTCGTTAAACGAGGACTGCTCTCTCGTCAAAAGTTCTTCTCCGGGCAAATCGATCGTTTACTCCATAAACCTCCCAGTCTAAGTAATGTTCCATTACAAAACAAGAGGGTACCAGCGAGAAATGATTCGTCAATCGATGTCGAATCGACGTCGATCAACGAGTCATTTCTCACTGGGTATCGTACAAAATAGACGAAGCTAATAAGTGAAACGTCTAAACGTTATAAATATAAAATTCTCTG